TGCAGTCCAAATATTATGAAGCATGTTATTGAATCTGTATTTCTTTTCTGAGATAAATTTTGTAACATTAATATCAATATATTTACTAGATAGATTTAAGTAAAAATCCCAGTGTTGCCATTATAAGGAGATTTTCTTCTTGCAAAGGACTCTTATCAGGGCCTCTTTCATATCTCTGTTCCTCAGGCTGTAGATTAAGGGGTTCAACATGGGAGTGACCACAGTGCACATCATGGCCATGACAGTTTCCTTCACAGTAGAGTTATTAGCTGATGGAAATATGTAGAGAGCAATAATTGTCCCATAGAACAGTGAGACCACAGTTAGGTGGGAGCCACAAGTGGAGAAGACCTTGTGGATAACGTGAGTAGAAGAAACTTTTAGGATGGAGCAGACAATTCGTACATAGGACACAATAATGAGTACGAATGGGATGACACTAACAAGCCCTCCCATGATAAATATCATTAATTCATTAATATAAATGTCAGAACAGGCTAACTTGAGCAGGGCAGATATGTCACAGAAAAATTGGGGGATCACATTGTCCTCACAGAATGACAATCTAGCCAAGAGTATAGTGTGCAGCATGGAATACAGAGTGGTAAGTACCCAGCACAGCACCATCAGACACACACAGAGTTTGGGGCTCATGATGGTGGTGTAATGGAGGGGGAAACAGATGGCCACATAGCGATCATAGGCCATGACCACAAGGAGAAAGCTCTCCATGTCTCCAAAAACCATTAAAAAGTACATTTGTGTCAGGCAGCCTGCATATGTGATGGATGGGTCCTGGCTCTGCATGTTCTGCAGCAATTTAGGCATTGTGACAGAGGAGAAGCAGAGGTCAGAGAAGGACAAGTTGCTGAGAAAAAAATACATGGGTGTGTGCAGATGGGAGTCCAGTAGAATGAGGATGATGATGATGAGGTTCCCCAGGACGGTGGTGAGGTACATGGCCAGGAACAGGGCATAGAACAGGTGCTGGTGCTCTGGAAGAATGGGTAGGCCCAGGAGGAGGAACTTGGAGATGACAGTCTGGTTGCTCATTATCATTTTTTTGTTTCCACTATCCTAATGAGAAAATATCAGGGTCTATTAAAATTCAAAATAAAAATGAAGATATATCTAGGATACATATTCTACAACAATCCACCTGACAGTTATCATAGTTATAACCTCAAATTACAAATGTCTGTAATCATTTTTATCACTAATGATTCTTCTCAGCTTCTCTTTGACAGGTTTCTATCTCCCATTCTTTCCTAGACAGTTTTATGTATTTTTTATAATAATTATTTTTACTTTAGAATTAATTTAATTTTACATATCAGCCACAGATTCCTCTGTCCTCCCTCCTCCCACCCCCAAGCCATTAACCCCCATCCACCCTCCATCGCACCTCTTTCAAGGCAAGCCTCCCCTGGGGATTCAGCCCACCCTGGTATATTCATTTGAGGCAGGTCCTGTTCCCTCCTTCCTGAACCAACGCTGAGCAAAGTGTCTCAGCATAGGCCCCAGGCTCCAAAAAGCCAGCCCATGCACCAAGGACAGGACCTGGTCCCACTGCCTGCGGGCCTCCCAAACATTTCAAGGTAATCAACTGTCTCACTAATCCAGAGGGCCTGATCCAGTTCCATGGGGGCTCCTTGGCTATTGGTTCACAGTTCATGTGTTTCCACAAGTTTGGCTATTTGTCCCTGTGCTTTTTCCAATCATGGTCTTTATATCTCTTGCTCATATAATCTCTTCTCTCTCTTGCAGGTTAGAGCTCGACCTGGGGTTTGGCCTTGGATCTCTGCATCTGCTTCCATTAGTCACTGGATGAGAATTCTATCATGACAGTTAGGGTATTCAGCCATCCCATCACCAGAGTAGGCCAGCTCAGGCACTCTCTTGACCATTTCCAGTTGTCTATTGGGGAGGTATCTTTGTCGATTTCTGGGCACCCCTCTAGCACTCTGATTCTTCCTAATCCCATGGGGTCTTCATTTATCATGGTGTCTCTTTCCTTCCTTGTTCTCCCACTCTGTTCCTGATCCAGTTGGTACCTCCTGCTCCTCCAAGCTTGCTTTACCCCGACTCTTGCCCTTCATTACTCCTCCTCACCCCCAGTTGGCTCATGTAGATCTCATCCATTTCTCTGTTGCTAGTCAATACCTGTGTCTTTCTTAGGGTCCTCTTTAATTCTTTACTAGGTAGCCTCCCTTGAGTTGTGAGTTTCAGTCTGCTTATCCTTTGCTTTACATCTAGTATCCACTTATGAGTGAGTACATACCATGTTTGTCTTTCTGAGTCTGGGT